ACTGAGCCATCGTTTACGTGACAAACCTCACTAGTTGGCTGTGTCGGGTGGTGGCGGGTTTAACGACACATTTATATATTGACGCGATCTAACCCCTCTATTATGGATGATATTGGTCGCGAAAGCCGACGCGCTCAACTGAGCCATCGTCCCTGCACGCTGCCGAACCAGCGGCACCGTCCGACCAGACTCCGGTTTAGGATATACCGGGTCCCGTCACGGGCACGTGGAGTTTAATACCACCGGGGGTGAAAGCGGTGTGCGTGCACACTGCGCCGCGAACCGGGCGACCAGGGATCATTTAAATCCCCGGCCACGGCTCACATCAGTGGCGAGTCAAAACCACCCGACTCACCAACCAGCACTGACCGGCGTGGTGAAGTATGGTCAAAACAACTGCCATGACCGACGCGGCGCGGACAGGCCTTCATCCGAGCGTTATATTGTGTCTGCTGAAGAAGATGATTTTGTTGATGTTGTTGTTGTTGTAGCAGTGGCTTGCAGGATGGGGGTTTTGTCACCAAGGCAAGTACAGCTTAGGGGGTGGCCCTTGTAATCTGTGAACTTTGTATAAACCGATTAGAGAAACCTCTCAAGTCGCGTTGTCTATGTGGCGTAGAGCACACGCGTGACACACCAAAGATAAAGATCCCCCGTATAGCCTCAACAGACTGTTGGGGCAAGTGCTGTTTAGCGAGTAGCACCCATGAAGGTGCCGGCACGGCACACGAGGGGGGCGGGTGACCAGCACCACGCCCGGCCGCCTTTGTCTCCCGAGTGACGATGTTTACACACACCGCAACAGGTACTCATTTGAGGCCGAGTCGACCTAGGGGAGGGACATGACCGGTTCAGATAATCGTCGCTTGGTGTTGGTGGCCGTGAGCGGGAATCGAACTTGGGTCACCGGCTTCGTAGCGCAACGCGCTAACCGATATCCTAACCGCTCCCCATATACACGCGTGCACACACACACACACACACGTGTTACATGCGACATATGGTCCACGTGGGTACACGAGACACACGCTCGACACGTGGTCAGGATTACACGTGTGTCCAGAGTACACGTGTGTACATGTTTATAGATGCATACGGTTCCGCTGTGGATCCTGTGAACGCCAATGTAGACGATATGAATCACATCGCCACTGATTCTGAATCGCGACCTGAATCGTAACATTTCAGCGCCTCGTGGAAGGACTGATTCAGTACAGTACCAAATAATGTGGACATTGGGGGCATAGTGATCCATGCATTCATCGATTATAAAGGCGAACGAGATGTGAATCTAAAACCGTTGCGTGAGAATCGATGCAGTAAATTCGTAAGCGTCGTTTTGCGTTGAACGAGACCCATTCAGCCACGAGAGGCCGATACATTCGCAACGATACCGTACAAGGACATTGTTTAGAAAGTTACGACTTTTTTGTATTCGCATCGAGACCCTGAATCGCAACAAAATCACCGATTCGTTACAGCCCGAGCCGACGGACCACGTGAAAAACACGCGCCTTCCCGAAACCGGAGTTGAATCTGTGAATTTAACGCTTTGGCTTTCGCGACAAATATCATCCATAATTGAGGTTGATTTTTTTTGGGTTAGATCGCGTAAATTTACTGCATTGGATTTTTTTTTCGATTTAAAGCTTTCGTGACTGCAGGGATTCATCTTCTTGGTTCTTTCGGTAAAGTCACGTAGAAGGGAAATAATAAAATAATAAAAATAAAACAATAAAATATTTCTCACGACGTTTCGGCCACAACGCAAGTAGCCGTCCTCAGGTGGAGAACAGGCGCTCTTCCCCCCCATCCATCCCAGCTTAAATAGTCGTTCCAAGCCTGGGGCTTGTCATTCAGACTCTGTCTCCTCGACAGACCTGTTCTCCACCTGAGGACGGCTGCTTGCGTTGTGGCCGAAACGTCGTGAGAATTATTTTATTATGTTTTATTTTTATTATTTTATTATTTCCATTTTACGTGACTTTACCGAAAGAACCAAGAAGATAGCTCGAGTTGTCCACTTGGCTTGCCAGGATGGCTCTCTCTCTCATTGCCGTTCTGGAGAATATCTTTCAGTTTTTCCGGGACGTTAAAAGTTCACGCTGTTTTGATCAGTTGCGCAGAGTATACAGCGCTCAAGACGATGCGCTTCACAATCTGAGTATTTGTACTGGAGAAATCCGATGAGCTATAAAGCTCTTTTTTAAAATCCTTTATATTAAGTTCACTTGCTTGCTTGCTTACGTGCTTGCTTGCTTGCTTGCGTGCTTGCTTGCTTACGACCGTGCAAATATTTTGGTCGTTTTTAACCCACTTCCCGTGATCCAATCGAGCTGACATTTTCCACACAGACTCGTTGTGCGTGACAATGAATGTTCGTGAAAAATTTTTTCCTAAATTTTACACTGTTTAGGACAAAAATATTATATTTAATTACCAATTGCTTAATGGTGCCAGGCAATCATCTGACCCATAGGTGGCAGCCATCTCAAGCCAG